CCCAATAGGCGCTCGGAGTCGCCCACTCTCGCCGCCCAAAGTGTCTCCTCCTCGACGTCCAGACGGTCGACGCATAGGAGCGGCAAATACGACGACGAAGACAGCGATAGCGAAGAGCTCGAGAAGAAGAGACTCGAACTCCAGAAGCAGTTGCAGGACTTGGACTGCAAGAGCAGCGTTTCCGTCACTGTCGTCGATACTGAGCCCAAGAACAACCACAACAACAACAAGAGTTCGGCGACTAATCCGTTGTCAGCCGTCAACAAAGTGGCGCGAAATCGGAGTAGGAGTTCATCGTTGATATCATCGGAAAGTGGTTCGTATTCTTCATCATTGAAATCATTGGCAAAGACGGAGAGCAGTGAAAACAGTGACAAAAAGGCTGCGAAGAGTTCGGGCGATAAAAAAGTGGACAAAAAGTCGTCAAATGATAGTAAGAGTAAATCCAGTGATAGTAAGAGTCGGACTCATGTGGTCTCGAGCTCTATATCTGTGAAGAGTGTGACCCACGCGGAGGACTCGTCGTCGAGCGCCCGGCCCTCGAAGGGCTCGGAGCCGAAGTTCGATCGACACGGAAACCTACGGATCAGTTTGGATGAACAGGAGAGGCAGAAGCGATTGCGCGCCGAGAGGTTCGGCGCCAACAAACCCAAGGCGAGCGACTCGTCCACCAAGAAGTCGCCCCACGATTCACATCATTTGGTATGTGTTTTTGATAATTGAATTGTGGTTTTGATTACCTTTTATGTGTCTTCAATAGACTGAGCCTAAGATTGTGGTCTCGAGAGACGACTCGTGCTCTCCGCCCACGAAGAAGTCGAAGGACACGCCGTCTGAACGACACTCAGCGACGGATTCCTCGAAAACTGACCACAAGAGGGACCGTAATAGCAGTTCCAGTCTTCATGTGAGTAAATACGAGCCGTCGGGCAGCAGAAGCAGAAGTCGCGATCGCAAAGACACGTCCAGACAAGAAGACAATCGAAGTAAGAGTTCGACGAGTGGTTCCAGAAATTTTTTGGACACCAATTCGACTACACTTCGGGACCGTTCGCGCGAAAGTCATTACTCAGATCGAGACAACGTCTCCTCGGGTGGCAAACGCGCTGACCGGCGAAGAGGTGGTAACTATTCTCGGGAACAGTCGCCGACCCATTCGAGTCACTCCAAGTTAAGCCGCGACAGAGAGTCCTCTATTGGCAGTGATTTCTCGCGAAGATCTAAATCTGAACGCCTGTCCACCAAATCCGTTGACACGAATGTTCGCAACAAAAGCCGCAATGAGTTGAAGACAGTGGAGACGAAAGCGAACGACTCGACCATTGAGGACAGGCTGTCGTCGATCAGCGCCGACAGCTCTATACCCGATGTGCCGGANCTGTTTTCACTGCTCTCCGTCTTTGCCAATGATTTCAATGATGAAGAATACGAACCACTTTCCGATGATATCAACGATGAACTCCTACTCCGATTTCGCGCCACTTTGTTGACGGCTGACAACGGATTAGTCGCCGAACTCTTGTTGTTGTTGTGGTTGTTCTTGGGCTCAGTATCGACGACAGTGACGGAAACGCTGCTCTTGCAGTCCAAGTCCTGCAACTGCTTCTGGAGTTCGAGTCTCTTCTTCTCGAGCTCTTCGCTATCGCTGTCTTCGTCGTCGTATTTGCCGCTCCTATGCGTCGACCGTCTGGACGTCGAGGAGGAGACACTTTGGGCGGCGAGAGTGGGCGACTCCGAGCGCCTATTGGGTGCCAACACTAATGACTTCACTTTGGCGTCCGATTTGTCGTCACTTTTGGCCGAAGACTTGGATCTGTGTATAGACGACGGCGGAGGCGGCGATAGAGGCGTCTGATTGGTGGGCGATGCGTCCTCGTGGTTGCGGCGCTTGCGACTCATGCGGTACCGGAGGTCCAGCGACTCGTCCATCGCGTTGTGGGCTACCGATGGCTGCAGTCTTCGCGACTTAAAGGTTCCCAACCTCTCAAAGACAGACTTGCGTTCAATGGGCGCCTGTTGTCCACCGCTCGCGGCGTCCATCGATTGCCGCAGCAACTCATCCGGCGATTCAATTTTGCGACGACTACTCATGTCTTGTAGGCCATCCGTTTGGGTGATAATTGGCGGTCACTGGCGAACGGATCCCCTGTTTGGCGACAATAGTGACAGCAATGGAGGCATTGGTCTGACAATCAGTGCGCAGACGCTGTGAGGAAAGTGCGGACAAAACGCTCACTAAAAACAACACAACATTGAAATCATGTGACCATTCAGTCACTCATCACTTCATTTGCTTTTTTGAGGCTTTCATTTGGTTTTAATTGTCATTTAAATTGAAAAAAAGCACAGTAGAGTTCTGAATAATCGCGTGGTTACTTCTGTACTTTGTTTACCGTCTGTAAAGGTATGGTAATCACCAGACATAACGCCTCAAACTCTGTTGAAACAGCGTCTGAAAATCACTTTTACAGTTAATAGTGTCTTGAGATCTAATGTCTGTCTGTTTGTGTGGATCCGTTGTGGTGATAGTCGGGAGCGATGGCCGGCATGTGTGTCGACCTGACGCTGTTCCCCATCGACACGATTAAGACACGGATCCAAAGCGATGTGGGCTTCTGGAAGTCGGGCGGCTTTCGGCGCATATACTCCGGTCTGACGTCAACGATGGTTGGATCAGCTCCTAATGGTAGCCGGTTTTGAGACAATTGTGTGTTTCAGATGATAACTGATTTGTTTGCTCGTCTCATACCATTAGCCGCTCTGTTCTTCTGCGCGTACGAGACGTCGAAGAAGACGCTGAAGACATATATGCCTGAAAGGTATGACCCAATCGTTCATATGGTGTCGGCTTCCGCTGGAGAAGTGGTCAGTGTTTTTGATCCCTCGCTTGGACTCACTTTTACGCCAATTATATAATCGTGTGTTTGAATAGACGGCGTGTTTAATACGAGTGCCCGTAGAAGTGGTCAAACAGAGGGCTCAGGCGACGCACAGCACCAGTAGTTTGATACTGAAGACCACACTTTCGCGGGAAGGGTTTGCCGGTCTCTATAGAGGCTATTTGAGTACAATTGTACGCGAAATACCGTTTTCATTGATTGTCAAGGGCCACACCCTTCACGACTTTTTCCTCACCAGTCGGGTAGTTGTCTACGGAAACTTAGGCTAAGTCAGCTGTCAAACGCCCCGTCGCCGGCCGCCAAACCGACGCGACAACTGGTGTGGCCTAGATTTGGCCAAAACTAGGATAATGTTGGCCGAGAAGGGAAAGGCGTTTTCGTTCACTGATATTCTAGTTGTCCTTAAAGTCATTTATCAAAGAAATGGATTTACCGGGTATTCAAGCCATACAAGCGTTAAGTAAATAGTGTTTTAATCGGTATTTTGTTTTGTCTTTCAGTCTATTTTCTGGTGCCGTTCCCCGTGTGACTCAGATATCAATAGGTGGTGCAATATTCCTCGGCGGTTATGATATAATATCTAACTTTTTGAAGGCTTTATGATATAGTTTATAGCAATTATTTATAAATTTTTATAATGTTTAGTCATTAGTTAAGTAGTTATTTAATTCTATGAAATGTATTTTTTACAGAATCATAATTTTTTAATTGAATAAATCAAATCTATATTGAAATTTAATACCACTTTCAGTTGATAACTAATTTAGATAATGATTCCGGTCATCAGTTTCTGGATTTAAATCACTTTTTATACATAAAAACAAGCCTTTATTAAACTATATTTAAGAATAACGGTATAAATATACGGTATAAACAGTATTTAAAAAATAAATAACTTATAAAATAATCGTCAAAAAAATAAAAGCATAAAAATATAATAGAAATTATAAAATGAATCCTAAGTTTAGATGAGAATCAACTGGTCGTTGGCGTCGAAGCCGGCCTTCTGTGAGCCGTACTTCACGCGGAAGAGGTCGAAGCCGGCGACCACTCGCTGCTCGTCCTTCTGGTGCGGTTTGATGACCGACAGACACGACTCGGCCTTATTGGTGGCGGCGATCCTCAGGTTAGGGGCGTTTACTTTGACGGAGTTCTGGTGCGGACTCATGTATATCACTATTTTGCCGAAAGTCTTGGTCACCATTAGGTCGCCGGTCACCACATTCTGTCGGATTCGCAGACCTATTTGTCAGTGAAGACACAGTATTAAAGTGTTTAAATGGTGTAAACAGTTGCGGGTCTCGTGTCCAATACCTGCCAAATACCAGAACTTATCGTTTCCGTCTTCAGACACTTCATAACTGCCGCGGATTAGGTCCGACAGAGCTCTCTGTCGCGCGTATTCGCCGCTCAACACATTGGCGTTGAAGATGTCGGCCGTGAAGTCGTAGTCGAGTTTACGGAAGCGCTCAGTCGTGGTCTTACAGCCGGACGAGTCGACCAAATAGATGAGCGACCGGTTGAGTGACGTGAAAGTGATGCCTCGGCCGCAGATTTTGGCCAAATGTAGGCCACTCTCGATGTGGCAGCTGTTGTGCGGAACCGACTCCTGGAATACGCGACCGAAACGATGGACAACACCGAT